ACGGCTGGACCCAGCATCTGGCTCCTTTCGTGTAACAGTGTTGTGTCTCGAGCGTGAAACAAGTGGCGATCGCGCCCAGGGGGTAGCTGGTGTCCAGGCTTTGTAGGCTGAAAGCCTAGAGGGTTCGCGCTGGTCTCTGCCCTTCCAACTTCTCTGGCTTGGTTCCGTCGGGCGACCCTGCCTGACGTTGTACCGCGTGGATGCTAACGCACGAGAGGGTGACAGGCATGGATTGCGTGACAAACTCCCTCCAATCAAGAGCGCAGTTGAGGTGCAAACTAACTCTCTTCCCTGAGCCTCTCTGGGGATACCTTAGCATTTAGCATGGAAGCTGAGAGAGTCCAGTTTCCTCCACGCCGCCCAAGCACTGGCCGCTCCCCATAGAGTGACTGAATTCAGGCATGTGTAACACTCACCTGACCCGGCTCAGTGCTCCAGAGGAAAGTGCCAGTGCTAGAAGTTTCATACTGGAGGTGGGGAAGGATGAGAGGCAGTAGAAACTCGTAATTCCCCTCCCACCCAAAATTTCCCAGCCCTATAAAGAAATCACTATCAACGAGGCTTATTTTTAATCAACTAACTTAAAAATAAATATATATAAAAACATGAAAATCACTTGCCCTGTATTATTAAAAAGATACGATTTGTAAAGAAAAACTTAGGAAGGATTTTTCTGTTCCCCCTGTTAATGTTTGGGGGAAAGACTTCCTGGAGGAGCCCAAGAACCAAAACTTCAAACCTATTTAGGCTCAGCCCCCCTGCCATCTTCCCCCTCTCTGCACATGCTTTTCAGTTTCAGCCTTGATGTTCCTAGTGGTAAACCCCTTGCAGTATCAGTAAACTGGAGGGGGTGTGCCATCCAAAAATCCCCGGGGATCTGACTATAGGCAAGTAAATAAACTGATACATACGAGTAAGAGGGCAAGAGCGTTTCTGGTGAAAGGAATTGTGGGGCTTGCCAGGAATCTTCAAATGGAAATGTGATTTCTTCCCTGAACACCGTCCCTCTAATCTCGGGGTAGTCAAAAGGGCCTCCATGGGCTGCAGCCGGCCTGCCAAGTGCGTTGATCCGGCCCATGGAGGCCTTGCTGCTTTCCCCACCCCCAGGCCAATCAGGACTTGGGGGTGTTTGAGGTACTCTCCTCCCACCTTGTGAGGGGTCAGCATTAAAGTCAGCCGCAAGCTGTTGCTCAGCTGGTGGTTGACTCTAAGCGCAGCGCTCCCTTGCAGGGCGGGGGCAGGGAGCAGGAGATTTCATGCGCTTCCCCTCCCCAGGACCTGAACGTATTGACCTGGGAGCAGCAGGGGGGGAGCACGCAAAGTCTCCTCCCACAGCCAGGGGCACAGGTACCTACAGGGAACTGCCAGCTGTTCAGAACAGCTGGCAGTTCTCTCTGGGGGTGGAGCAAAGATTTTGCATGTTCCCCCACCCTCAGGCCAATCAGGGTCTGTGGCATGGAAGTGTCCTGGCCCCGCCCTTTCCACCTGAGGCCCCGCCCCTTCCAGGGTGGCCCCGGGCCACTTCAAAAATTTCTGAAGTCAAAAATTATTGGCCAGCCCTGTTCTAATCCTAACAGATACTTACAGTCAGAGAGAACATCAGTATCTCTAGGACTGGCCTCCCTTCCCCTATTCCCCAAATCAGGCCCTCTGAATGCGACTCTTGCAAAGCAGTTCCACCCATGTGTTCCTCCACGGTGAGATCCAGGGCATGGCGTGGTTCACACGCACACCCTGCTCATCCCTCTCCCTCCATCGCTCCCAGTGCTGGGCCGGTTGTACCTGAGCGCCCCATCAGCTCTTTCTGGGACCGCGCATCAGCAACGCAGAGCAAACCCACCGGGGATGCGCTTCCGCCGCGGCAGGGGAGAGCTGCGGGCAGGCGCCGGGCCCGTCCGGAATCTGCGCTCGCCCTGTGTCTAACGCGCCGCGCTCTTGCCCCTCAGCCACGTCCATCTTGAAGCGGCAGAAGCAGCTGCGCAGGAAGAATGTGCGTTTCGACCAGGTGACCGTGTACTACTTCGCCCGGCGCCAGGGCTTCACTAGCGTGCCCAGCCAAGGGGGCAGCTCCCTGGGCATGGCCCAGCGCCACAACTCCGTCCGCAGGTACACGCTGTGCGAGTTCGCCCAAGAGCAGGAGGTGAATCATCGGGAGATCCTCCGAGAGCACCTCAAGGAGGAGAAACTCCACGCCAAGAAGATGAAGGTATCGCTGACGAGGGTGAGGGAAACGGGGAAAGGGGCATAAGAGCTCGGCCTCGTCCGGCCCATAGCGGCTGCTTCAAGGGACCCTGCAGTTGGGCTGGCGTGAGATAAGCGTCCCCAAAGGGAGTGTCTTCGTACCCCCCCGAGGGCCTGCCTTAAATCCGCGCTT